CAACAGAAAAGTGGGTGAAGGGAGACGTCGGACAGGGCAAGATATGACAAAATAACAATTTATAAATTATCAAGGGCTCATGAGGGAGGGAGGAGCAGGGAGGGTGGGGAAAAATGAGGACCTAATGCCGGAGGCTTAAGTGGAGAGGAAATGTTTAGAGAATGATGAGGGCAATGAATGTACAAATGTGCTTTACACAATTGGTGTATGTATGGATTGTGATAAGAGTTGTATGAGCCCCTAATAAAATGATTAGAAAAAAAAAGATTCACAACTCAGGAAACCAAGAGAGCAGGCTTTCTCTGCCCGATTGGTGAGGTCCCATGAATGGGAACCAAGTCGATGGCACTGTGATTAAGGAGACAGGCTCAAAGCTCTGGTAAGGTTGAATGGCATCTAGTAGGGAAAAGTTAGAAAGAGGGTCAAGTACAGAAACTGTTCTGGTCGTGATTGCCTTTGCCCAAGGGTGGCCCTACACAAGTGGTCCACCTGTCTTCTTTCATCCACCTGTTCATAAATAAGTAAGTGCTTCCCTGTCTTACCACCTCAGTGTCACCCAGTTAGTTGGTGAGCTCCCTGTGTCACACTTCTCATACTCCTTTCTCAGTAATGTGTTATAGTACTACTCACATCAACATGAATGATCAGTACTAATACTTCATATAAGAGGGTTTCAAAAGTTCATGGGAAAAGTTGAATATGTTCTAATTCCATTTCCCCACAAACTTTGTGAAGCCCCCTCATATGTGGGAAAAATAATAAAAGCATGTTGTGTACCAAGAACCCTTGTTAAAATCCCCAGCTCCGTTACGGACTCCAGACCACACCAAGGCAACAGAAGTATAATGAAAGGCAAGGACTATCTGAAGACATTTTGGCAATGTTTTACCTACTAAATAACAAGTGCGGCCTAATAAACAAACATTAAACAAAAAACTGACCCTGAAAAACTAACCGCATACCCTTAAAATGAAATTTTTCTCCCTTTAAAAGGGGTCAGTTGCTAATAGGGTAAGGATTGGAGTTTAAACCTTCATAGACAAGAAAGAAGGCTGCAAGAAACAAGAATTAACGAGAAGCTACTTTGAAACACCATTGGTTTTCAGTGTCCGTGGCTCCCCTTACTTTGCCTCAAGGAAGGGTATTAGACCAACTAGCATGCCCGCACATTCAGTAATACACTTGAGACTGTACCACCACACAGACTCCCCAGCAACAGCAAAGTCCAGAGACTCCCAACTGAAGTGACCAAGGAGGCCCCAATCCCGGGCTTGAGAGAGACCTTCTGCCTTCATTTCCCAGGAACCACAATGAAGAGAGTTTGCGAGCTTGGGTCAGACACCCCACCTGAAGGCTTTAAAAGCTTGAAGATTTTAAGTAAGCAGACAATGTGTGCTACCACGAACGTAGGGCTCTCCACATTTCTTGGTATGACAAGAGATACTCAGAACCTCTACAAAAGCCTGTTACTTGTATCTAAGACAAAAGCCACACTGAAGAAGCCACACTGCCCAGAATAAGGCTGTGCTTTCAGTGACTTTGATAAAGACTGACTATGCAGCCTATGTAACTGTGGCATTTCAGGAATGGCCGAAGGTGAGGAGGAGCACGAAACAGGGAAACAGAAGCTTTACGGAGATGCTAACTGCCAATGCAATCAAGAGAACGTGGAGGAGAACCCAACCAAGCAAGAGGAACTAGAAAGTCACTTGAAAAAAACAAAAAATACCAACTGTCAAAGACCATTCCAAAATTTAAAAAGCTACTGGACTACTAAGGAGAAGAGACTGAAGAAGTTGGGAGCTTGTCATTACACAATTGCCGATACAAAGGTAATTAAAATGTCGAGTAATCTAATCCCTGGCAAATCAATAAATCAATCTCTACATGAGCAAAAACAAAATAAAATTGAAAACAAAAGATACTGGTAGTGGGAGGTGTTTGGTGCCATTGATCGGTTGTGTCACAGAATACACTGTGCGTTTCAGCTACTCCTGCGACCCACGAGGAACCTCTGCTCCCACTATTCCAGCATCAAAACCACACAGCTCAGGTGAGCAGTTTTGCCCGATTCATTGCTCTTGTCTGTGCTCACCTGTAATTCCTTCATCTGTAAATCGATAGGTTTCTATGACGTAACTCTCTCCCTCCTCGAAAAAGCAACCTCACCGCCATGGAGTCGATGTGGACTCAGTGACGCTACAGGTCAGGGTAGAACTGCCCTGAGTTTCCGAGGCTGTCACTGGATATGAGAGTAGAAAGCCCTTGTTTTTTTTTCTCTGAGGAGCAGCTAGTGGTTTTGAAGTCATTACCTC